CTAGATGATTAGGTTGAATTTGACAACTTAAGGGTGGAGATGTAAGAAAAAGTCATAATTGAGGGTGTATATGTAATTATCCAAACAAGAGGGGCTTTTCGGAAAATCGGCCATACCACAGGGGGTGTCGGTAATTTACCCTAATAATAAATGTTGCATAAATTCCCAATTTTGCTACCGTTGAAAACAAAGTGCGAAGACTTGTCTTTCTTTTCTTCCCCAAACTTTCCTCTTCTTAGGAAGAAAAATCGCAGACTTCCATTTGATCAGTGAAATGGAAGTCTGAATTCTCGAAAACCTAATTGCGCGCGCTAAAGAGAGAGAATTAGCAATTACAGTTTTAATTTTCGCCGATTTTTTCTTTGGGGGGAAGTTCTTCCTTTTGTGTGTATGAAATTGAACTCAATTTTTCTAATTTGATCATCAAATTTAATGGGAGGCGACGACCCCTCTGAATCTTCGCCTTTGGTGGCTCCGGTTTTGGTCACCTCGCCATTGGAGATTGACCTAGAGGCTGGACCCGATGAGCAGATTCAGTGCCGAATTTGCCTCGAAACCGATGGTAAAATCCCTCAATTTTTGCTCAATTTTTTAAGATTATTTTTTTTAATTTATTGTAAGATGTTACCTTTGTTGAGTTTCAGTTGAAAAATCTCGATGGGCTTTGTTTGATTGTGCATTACAGTGCTACTAACTAGCATACTGATTACTGTATACATGAGTGTAGAGGATTTGTTGCGTTTTTTTTTTTGTAATTCAGATTTCTAATTTCTAACAAATTTTTGAGCTATAGAGAATAGAGAATTTGCTGTAACTATTCGATGATTAGAGCTACACCTTTTCGATTCAATATTCGTAGAATTTTCGGATTACATAGTGAGAATTATAACTAAGAGTCTGATTGCGTTTTCTAGGTTTTTTCGTGTTTGGAAAGGCTTCGGATTCTGACAATTTAATCCAGCATTGCACACAGCCAATTAAACTACCGCGAGGTCGATATGTTGTGTCACTTTGTAATTTTCTTTTGAGTATTTTGTTAAGAAAGTTAGCTCTGTGCCATTTGAAGTACTGTGTGGAATATTTCAAAAAGTTATATGTTCCGACATTCTTCAAGAAAACTACAACGTCACGATTTGATTAGTTGTATTGTGCGAATAGTTAGTAATCCACTAATTGAACATTTTGATTGATAGTTTTGCAAGAATTCGTGTTTTCTTGTTGCACTTGATTTATGTGAATTAGCGAATTTTTATTTATCAGGTAGGGATTTTATTGCTCCTTGCAAGTGCAAAGGGACATCAAAATACGTCCACAGAGAATGTCTCGATCATTGGCGGGCCATTAAGGTAAAATTTGACTATCAAGTTTACAGCTAAAATATCGTAAAATTGTTACTTCTTGGTGGTTAAATATGTAATTAACTTTATGCAGGAAGGATTTGCCTTTGCTCATTGCACAACTTGCAAGGCTCCTTATTATTTAAGAGTCCACGTAATTGCTGATAGAAAATGGCGAACAATGAAGTTCCGTTTTTTTGTCACTAGGGATATTCTATTTATCTTTTTCGCTGTGCAGCTGGTACGTCGTTGGACTATTTCTCTGTTTGGTCATTCTTTTTTTATCATCCGTTTTTGTTACCGGCTGTGTTGAGAATTAGAATGAGAGAGAGAGTAAAGAGTTGATCTACAACATGCATATATATGCCTTTTGCACAGGTTATTGCTGTTTTGGCATACTCGATGTATCTTATTGACGGATATCAGAAGTTTTGGCTTCGTCTCACCTGGGGTTTCGACAGCGAATTTAGTTTCTACTACTTATGTGGTAAAATATTTTAGCATTTCATCTTCCTCGTAAAGATGCTCAATTTATGTATGTGTGTGTGTGTGTGTGTGTGTGTGTGTGTGTGTGTGTGTGTGTGTGTGTGTGTGTGTGTGTGTTTGTAACTTGTTTGTACTTTTGATACATAACTATTTTTACATTTCTCAACTGTATCTTGTATGGAGTCTTGAGACTAAGTTATAAATGATTATTGTTCTGCGAAAGTTCGTAAAAAATAAAAATAAATAACACTATGAATCATCTGTTTCTCACTCAATGACTTGAATACGTATATATAATAAAAGCATCCCATTTTTTTTTATACTTTTTTTTTGTTTTGTGTAGGGGCACTATTATTTTTCGCGTTGCTTGGATTATCGGGGTGCTTCATAACTTGTTATGACAGAAGAGTGCGCAACGATCTAGCTCAACCATGTCGAGAATTGTGCCTTTGTTGTTGTCATCCTGGGTATAATAATCTCATCTCGCGCGCACACACACACACACTATATATATAGTCTTTTACGTGATAAATGAGAATATTCCTCTGTGCAGGGTGTGTGCGGATTGTCATTTGCCCGGGACACTTTGCCTGTGGACCGATTGTACTGCGTGCTTCGAAACTTGTGCTAGTGCAGCTGGGGAGTGTGGCTGCATGGGAGGTGCAGGTGAAGCTGGATTGCCGTTGTTACTGATCATGGCTTTGGTCGTACTCGGTTTGTTCACTATTATCGGTATCTTTTATAGTGTATTAGTTGCCACTATGGTCGGACAAAGGATTTGGCAACGCCACTACCACATACTCGCCAAACGAATGCTAACGAAAGTAAGTTTTCGCATTTCAATTTTTATTTTTATTTTTTAAGTTTGTTTGTTGCTATATTTGGTGGTGGAAATTGGGACAGAATTTTCGAATTCCGCCGATTTTTATCTGAATATATTCGATTTTGGAACAATATTTTTCACTCTGAATTCTTGTTTTTCTGATTTTTTTGGAATGGAATTGGAATACACATTAGATTCCGATTCCGATCTGATTTCAATTTCCGAAAATATTTCCAGAACTTCCGATTTTTTTCCTTCTAAAATTACACATACATATGATATCAAATACTACTATGTAGTTTCTATTATGCTAAAAGAATGGAAACTTCGAATCCCGACGATTCAAATCCAAATTTTTTCAATTTTAGAACAATAATTTTTCATTCCAACTTTTCTGAAACGGAATTGGAATTAGTTTTGCATTTCCGAAAAAAAAAATAGAACTTTCCGATCTGATTCGTCCGATTTCCACCCCTAGTACACTATTATTCATACACGTATAGGAAAGTATCAAGGAAAAGACCTATGCCAAATAGTTAGTGAAAATTCTCTAGGATCTGACAATACTACATTACTCGAATAAGAACACACACACACACACACACACACACACACACACACACACACACACACACACACACACACTTATAATAATATTAATTTTTTTTCCTTTTCGTAGGAATATGTTGTTGAGGATGTCGATGACGAAATGACTGGAGGTGATTGGTCGCCCCCACCGCTCCCGTCGGAACATGTTCAACAGCTGAAAGCACTCGGACTTCTATGAACTAAGTTAACGAGAAATGGCCTATACTACATACATACAGGTACTTGTGTATGTCTCTCCTATTTCTTACGATCAATTAACCAAATGATTCGGAATGATGTTGTTCAAATATATATATATATATATATATATATATATATATATATATATATATATATATATATATATATATATATATATATATATATATATATATATATATATACATATATATATATATATATATATATATATATATATATATATATATATTTTAATCTTACAATGTACTACGAGGTAAAATAACTTTTACGAGATTAACTTGTACGACTACCATTTTCTTTTGCTTTGTGTAAAGGGAAAATATAAAAAAAAAAGATGATGAGATCATTGAAACTGTGTGTGTATCGCTCTTCCCATTTTTCGTATCAAGATATTTTTATTGTCGAATTAGCACCAATTTTCGAGCGTAATTAGCAAGAACTCTATCTTAATGAAAGGGTATTATAGTCTTTTCATATGCAGTACCAAATACATAAACAAATACATTTGGTATAAATTGTGTGTTAGTACAACATTTCCGAGTTGAAGTTCAACACATAATGCATGATGTAGAACCACATGATTTCAAATTTGTATATAGATGAACAGAGCGAGTAAATGCGAAAGAGTAAATGCGAAAAAGTAGGGTAAATTACGGTCACCTCTGAGGTATGGTCAAATTAAGAAAAAAACTTATTTTGTTTGGGTAATTACATCCACCCCTCCGATAAAATATTTATACATAATATTTATATAATTCGGTTATTTATCGAACCAAATTAGATATTCAGTTCGGTAAGCGGTATGAAATGTTGGCGTACTGAAATTTCGGTTTAATTTTATCAGCTTAATATTTTGAAATTTACCTTTGAATGGGTATTTTTGTAAGATAATCTATGGTTGAGGGGTGGCTGTAATTACCCAAACATGATGAAAATTTTTGTAATTTGACCATAACTCAAGGAGTGGCCGTAATTTGCCCAAAAAAGTAAAATAATATCACAATCGTTGCCATCTAATATATCTAAAATGAAAATAGTAGTAACAATATAAAAAGTTAATCAAAATACCATAAATAAAATTTATTGAAAGCAACTCATTAATCGAGGAAAAAAGTACATGTGTTCGGGATGTCCTAGTGGTTGGAGTAAGTAAACCTGTATCAAACGAGTTCAAACTTGTCACATGATTAACCTAATGTGATTTAGTACGTATATCGTATGCTTTGTAAGCTATACATCTATGTTAGAAGGTTTAGAATAATATTAAAAAAAAAAAATCTTAATTATAAGCAATAAATTGCACCTCTCTCTTGACCTATCAAATCCACCCCTTAATGAAAATAGAAAGGGTGTAATAAATTAAAAATAGGGATGTTGTTTGGTACAAAGGTTCAATAATTCATATTTTTGTCATTAATTAAATACTACTACTATACTAGGAAGTGTACAAGTAAACATATTACATAAGTGATAAGTGTAAAGTTGTAGTCTTGACTCAACCACACCTCATTTATGTCCTAACGTAATAAAAGTTTCTTCATAAAGGAAAAATGGAAAAAAAAAAAAAAAGGTATCAAAATTTTATTTACATTTCTCAATCTCCTAATCATTAATAATTGTTAGATATATACATAGTTGCATATATGCTATTGCAAATAATATATAATTTCCCTAATACAGTTTATTAATTTTTTTTTCATGTCATTAGCTTGCGAAGCTTTTGTCAATTAAAAAAAAATCTTTTTTATTTTTTTATTGGCATCATTTTAAATTAATATTTCAAAACATAAGGGCAATGTTTGGAAGCGTTTTGGATCTTATTTTGATTTCATTTTGAGGAAATATGTTTTGGGGGAATAATTTGAGAATGAAAGTAATGTTTGTTTGTATTTTGGAAGGAGACAAAATACACTGTAGCAATCAAATCATGTTTAAAGGTGTTAGAAAAAGGTATTTTTGAAGAAAAAAATTGAAAGGTGAAGTGATGTTTATTTGTTTTTTAGTGAAGACATTTTTTACTGTAGCAGTCACATCATGTCTGAAGGAGAGAGAAACTTTTGAAATTGTTTTGAGAAATGATTTGAAAAGTGTAATAAATCCCATTTTGTTTTGGGGAAACAATGAAAACAAAATAAAAACGGTTCCAAACATTGCCAAGATTTTCAGGCCTTAATTCCACTTTGAACCCTCGAAATACACCATTTTGACACTTTGTACCCTCAAATTTTTTTTATGGCACTGTACACCCTCAAAACACATTTAATTGTTCAAAATGCACCCCGCTCTATTTTCCGGCATTGACTAACTTTCTGATTGTCAACAGGAGTACATTAGCACTTTGCACCCCAAAGAAAAAGTCGATGAAGAAACAAAAGTACCCTTGTTTTCGAGGATGCAAAATGTCTAAATGGTGAATTTTGAGGGTGCAAAGTGGAATTAAGCCGATTTTCAGAGGGAATAAATTGAAGAGAGAGAAAGAAAGAAGCTTTTCATGCAAAAACCCAAAAGTGAAAAAAAGCCCCCAAAACCAAGAATCTTATCGATTTAAGACATCTGACAGCAAAAGTCCCACTCAAAATTCACTTCTTTCCTTCTCTCTCTCTCTCTCTCTTAATTCTTTCTCTCTCTAAAACTCTGCAACATCTACTACTAAGCTACTTTAAAAAGCAGCAGTAGTAAAACTTTTTACAGCTCGAAGTTGCTTCAAATGAAGTGAAAAATTTCACTTCTCAAGATCTATTTCAACACTGATTTCTTTATTTAATCTTCTCTCCAAAACAAAATAATATTAGTGTTCAAAATAGAGAGAGATCTGCTGCAAATGGTTCGCCCTCTCCTCTTCTCCCTCTTTCTTCTGGTAACCTCTCTCTCTCTCTCTCTCTCTCTCTCTCTCTCTCTCTCTCTCTCTCTCTCTATATATATATATGTATGTATAAATATGTATGTATATTTTTTTTACTTTATTTTCGCTATTACACACTGGATAAGGAAATAAAAAAAAGGGAGGTAGTTTGATTTCTTGATATTATTATTATTATGCTAATTAATTACATGGACACTCACAACTTGCATTATTACAGATTGTGTTCACCCATTAAAAGAAACAAATTAATTTTTTTTTTATTTTAATAAAACAGCTGAAACTAAAGAACCAATCTTTCTTTAATGGGACTGTTAAAATTAGGAATTTTTGCATAAGATTGATTGAATTAGTTAGTCATAGGTGTAGTTGTAATAACTGGTTAAGAAAGGAAAATAAAGGGGAAAAAATAATTAAACAATTGTTTTGCAGTATTTTTTAGGGAAAATTACAGTTTCAATCCTTCAAGTTTGCACAGATTTCACACTTGGTCCCTCATGTTTCAATAATTTAACACTTTTGGTCCTTTCCGTCAAATTTTTTGTTAGTCCGTTAGTTAAGACAATAATGGGCACAACCTTGATTCCGTTAGTATTAATGGAAAATTGACGGAAATGACTAAAACTGTTGAATTTTAAAAAAACGAGGGACCAAATGTATCATTTTTGTGAACATAGGGGAAAAATGTGAAATTAGTCCAAACTTGAGGGATGAAAATTGTATTATTCCCGTAGCTCTTATGTAGTAGAACTGTAGAAGTGACAAATGTAAGAAACATAGATTAAAGTTTATTATACTAATGCAGATAAAACTAATATTGATGATTTTGTAATAAATGTAACAGATTTGTTTTTGTAAGCGTCGAGAATTTATGTCTTTAGTCGAATAAAAAGTGCTGGAATGAACGGGAATATACTCGAGATTCCCGATTATTTAATTTCAAAAAATGGCATCTTCTTCTGGAAATTCTATTGCTACTATTCTTAGCATGATTATTGGGAAATAAGATAAGATTCCCTACATATTCAGCGCAGATAATTAAGAAGAAAACGAGAATTTACGGTGTTTTTGCTATAAGGGGCCTACATTTCGGCACAACTTTCATATCCTTGACTTATATGAAATAATCTTTCTTCATTTGTACTATCTTTGAGCTTATTACTACAGCACAATATACTTAATCGAATTGCTTTTTCTCCCTTTCGTCTTTCCATCTTAGTACTATTCATCTTTATTTAAATTCTCTCGTATTTTTTTTACATCAGATAATTTGTTTAATTTGTCTGTGATTTTTGTCGAATTTATTAGTGACAAATTTCGAAATTTTATATTTTTTTTCTGTAACCCCTCTTGCAGCTGTTAGGGTCTACATCAAATGGATTAACACCAACGCCTTACAGAGGTTCGAGAATCTGCATTTTCCGATCCGTCAATATATTTTTTTTTTAATATTTGTTTTCTTGGAGCTTATATTTTATTTATGTCGACTTTACAGATGATGATGCTTCATCGAACTCAAACGAAATGAGTGCTCTTAGGCACCCCAAGGCAGGTACTTTCCCTTGTATCAAGATCATCCAATCTCATTTTATTTCGGGTTTTATGTTATTATTCAAATCAATTATACATTATGATTATCTTTTGTGCCTTTCGATGCTTAATAATTAATCGTCTCGAATAAAATTGATATTTTTTTCTTTTTTTCTTTTTAATGTATAATAATATGTGCAGATGCTCGGAGTTTATCATCATCTAGCCCAATCAAAACGAGTTCCGTCAGTCATGCTGTGGCAGGTAAGATTCGTTTAATGTCGTAAATCTGTTAATTTTTTTTTTTTTGTTTTTTCATTAGGAAATTACAAAATCATTATTTACATTTAATAATATTCAGAAGCCCTCTTAAATGTTTGTTGTGCTCCGAGAACCGTTTCTATATTTGATGTAATTCGACGCAAGTAGTAATCGAGTGCATTTTCATTCGAAGATGGAATATACTCCGATATTTTCGTCACATTAATTCCGACTTTTTCGTTTTTTTAGCAGTGGGAGGGATAGGGGCCAATTGGGGGTCTCAATCAACTCACCGATTGCCACCGGAAATAGTGGTGAGAATGCTAAGAGAAAACGGGATCCAAAAAGTGAAGCTTTTCGATGCGGATTACGACACTTTAAAAGCTTTGGGAAAATCGGGAATTCAAGTGATGGTTGGCATTCCAAACGACATGCTCTCGACTTTCGCCAGCAGTTCAAAAGCTGCTGAAAAATGGGTCTCGCAAAACGTCTCCCATCATCTCACCACAAACAATGTTCTGATCAGGTGAGTTCTTAAAACCTCGATTTTTTTTTTCATATACGGTTTTATTAAAATATAGATTGATTGTATATGAAAATCGATCTAATTATTTAATAAATTGGACTTTTGATCAATTTCTAACAACCTTCGAATGATTTGTGTAGGTACGTGGCCGTAGGAAACGAGCCTTTCTTGGCGACGTACAACGGAACCTTCCTCCGAACAACTTATCCGGCACTAGAAAACATCCAAAAAGCGCTCACAAAAGCCGGCCTTCAGAACCAAGTCAAGGTCACGGTCCCGCTAAATGCCGACGTCTACGAGAGCGCCAGCACCCTACCATCCGGCGGCGATTTCCGGGCCGACATCCACGACAACATGATCCGGATCGTGAAACTGCTAAGCGACAACGAGGCCCCGTTCACGATCAACATCTACCCGTTCATAAGCCTCTACATCGACCCGAACTTCCCCGTCGAGTACGCCTTCTTCGACGGGGGCGCGACCCCACTCAACGACGGCGGCACGAGCTACTACAACATGTTCGACGCCAACCACGACACCCTCGTGTGGGCCCTACAGAAGAACGGCTTCGCCAACCTCCCGATCGTAATCGGCGAGATCGGATGGCCCACGGACGGCGACCGCAACGCGAACATCGACTACGCGCAACGCTTCAACCAGGGCGTCATGGCCCGTATAACGGCCGGGCGCGGGACCCCCATGCGGCCCGGCCCGATCGACGCGTACCTGTTTAGTTTAATCGACGAGGACGACAAGAGCATACAACCGGGGAACTTCGAGCGCCATTGGGGTGTGTTCCGTTTCGACGGTCAACCCAAGTACTCGCTCAACCTAGGTGGGCCCACGGGCGCGCTCGTGCCGGCGAAAAACGTGAGCTACTTGGAAAAGAAGTGGTGCATTATGAAGCCGAATGCGAGGGTTGATGACGCGCAGTTGGCTGCGAGTGTGAGCTACGCATGTGGGAGAGGGGATTGCACGTGCTTAGGGTACGGAACTTCGTGCGGGGGTTTGGACGCGAGGGGGAATATTTCGTACGCGTTCAATAGTTATTATCAGAAGAATAATCAGATGGATGAAGCATGTAAGTTTGACGGTTTAGGGACAATCACGAGGGCTGATCCGACGGTGGGGAGCTGCGTGTTTGAGATCGCCATCAAGCCGTACTATAGTGGTGCATCGAGAGTTTCGTTTTCGGGGTTGAAGACATTGGTTCTTGGTTTGTGTATGTTTTTATTGACTGGTTTGTGATTTTGAATTTTTTTTTTTTTTGGGAGTTTGGTTTGTGACACTGCAGCATTCATGGTGAAAAAACCAGGCATGATTTTTAATCCTTTTTATTTATTTATTGGTTGTTGTTGTAGAGGGGTGTGGTATTATTAATATTAATATTACGATAAACCCCTGAACTTAGGTCAAATTATGAAAAACTCCCCCATTTATCTGTAATTATCAAAATCCCTCTGATGATTGTTTATGTCTTACATCGACCCCCTTATGGTATGTTTTTTTCACGGGATCATTTTGAGTCAAGGGAATATTTCCGGAAAAATATCAATTATACCCCAAGCAGACGTGACATTTATTTATGCTACTTTTTAAAGACATAATTACCCTCAGAGGGACCTTTATACATAATTTTTAATCCTCTTAAATAACACATTAACATTTTTTAAATATTACGATAACCCCTCTGATGGTAATTTTTAACTTTAAAATGTAACATAAAGAAATGTCACGTTTATAGGGATAAAATTGACATTTTCTTTCACGAAATACTCCCTAGAATAAAAATGATTCCGCGAAAAATCATACCATAAGGGGGTCGGCTTATGACATAAACAAATGTTGCGTGGATTTTGGTAATGACAAATAGGTCGGGATGCTTCTCGTAATTTAGCCTAAGTTCAGAGATGTTTTCGTAATTGTCCTTTAATTTAATTGAAAATTTGAGAAAATTAAACCGCCGAAGACAAACAAGCACGATTTATGCTTTTGTGTTTATTTGTTATTGCGTGGAGGGACATTGTAAAAATACTTTTGCTTAAACAAAAAATATTTAATTAAAAAATGTACATGATAAGTTAAACAAATACATCTATGAGAAAAGTAAGGACCTAATTGCAAAATTTTGAGAAATTAGTTTGTGGCTTTGTGCGCTATGGCAACGTACTCAATTGCTAATTAAATAATTCTTATATTTTATTAAAAGTCCACGGTTTTTTAAAATAAAGGTTTAATCAAAATTACTTTTTCTTTAAGTTTGATTATTCAAATTAATTTTTTTTGGTTGCAATTATAACATAGATTTGTAAATTATTGTCGGTTTGGAAAATTTAAGTATGGATTGAATTTGATTAATTTAATACTAACTTAATAATAAAATATATTTACTAAATGAAACTTTATTTTGTGAGTGCTCCCACACATGCACTAATTGATTTATTTATTTTATCCTAACATGGATATGTTTCATAGTATATCTTCTTCAATAAATTTTGAATTAATTAATTAATAAAGGTGAAAAATATAATTATTTAATTATTTTTCTTGCGGGTCGGCGGCCATTAATTCCACTCATGGATAGATAACTTCAACGAAAGCTACATATAAATGGACCCTAGGATTATAACTCTTTATTTTATAAATAAAATAATAAATTTATTTATATTAATTTGAAGAAAAAATAAGAATGTAACAAAATATAATAAGATAAATTATTTCCTTAGTGAAAATTTAATTGTTGATCAATAGTCAATCGTAATTCAGATTTTTTCCATTCTACATTCAGTAAATTTCATCGGATTACATTCACATATATACACGCATTTTATATGTATATGTGTGATTGTATTTACTCTAACTGCTATGGCATTGCCCGAGTGGTATCAGGTTAGGAAGAATAGTGTTAAGTCGTTGGTTCTATTTTTATTGGGTTCGATTGTAAGCCAATTTATAAAATGGACTCATGCTGCAAAAAATGATAAGATATAGTTGACTAAATATATTAGTTGAAATCCAAATAGATGCCTCCACTTAAATTTTTTTTTTCTCGTTGGCAATATTATCACTAGCATTATCATTTTGCCATTAAATAATTAAATAATTGCAATAAAAATCTACAAAAGTTTTTTTTTGGTTGGTTTCATGTATCAAGACTCAAATATTGTTATAAAATGTGTGTGTGTGTGTGTGTTTTATTGGTGACCAGCTAATTATATATTGTAATATGTTTTTAATTACTAGTTTAATAATGAAGAAAATTATTGTTTTAAGTTATATCAATATGGCAATTACTAGTATGTACATGCAATGTCATATTCAATAATCCAATATAATTGTTTGTGTTTTCATTCATGTATAAATGAATTGTTTGTAAAATTACGAAAGAGCCCCTCATTTTTTTTAAATTACGTCCAGCCTCATGCAGTTTGTAAATTTCTTACATCCACTCACTACAAAATGGTGTTAATGTAGAAAATCTACAAATTATGGGGATGAGGAGTTTTTCGTAAATAAACCTTATGTTAGGGAGACGATGGTAAATAAACCCCATGTTTTTATCTATGTTCTAAACTGCCTTTTGCATCAATAATAATAATATAATATGCTAGAATCGACATCCACATTATACTACACCCAAAAACAAAAACAATATTATTTTATTTCTCTAAAAATTTCCTTATAATATCTCACTTGCATTGTTGCATGCCTATAAATTCTTGCTCTCCATCTACACATAAATTTATATACAAACACCTTATAATAAATATATATATATATTCAAGATTTATATATGTATACAAACGCCTCATAAATAAATATAATATTCAAGATTGTAATATTTTGAATTGAAGCAATATGTCTTCCATGGGTGCAAGCTACGCGCTGATTCACGTGCAGCAAAAGCGCGCGAAGGAGAGATTAATGAAGAAAGTGGAAGCGGAAAATAGAGCCAAACAAGGCACAACAATGGCGGCGGCAGCGACAGCGGTGGAGAGCAGTAAAACCAGCCGGAACAAGAAAGTTCACCCTCTCACGGCGGCCGCGGCCGCGGCTATAGCTAGAGACTAAGGATTAATTAATTAGTTGCTTTTGCGTCGAACATGCATGTATATGATGAAAATGAATTTGTTTATATTTCTCCATGTGATTCTCTCTCTCTCTCTCTCTCTTTTTTTTTTTTTTCTTTTTGTGTTTAGTGTTAAATAATTTTCAAGTTCATCGTCCAATTTGTAACAGTAATTGATTTTTATTAATAGAAAAACAAAAGTTTTTCGTCACTATTTTTTTCTCCGAGCTAGCTACTACTATATTCGATTTACAATGAAATTAAACATATATACGGTCAATTAATTTAGGATATTTTTGAATTAATTTGGATTTTTGATGGACCAGCTAAATAAACATATAGTTATAATAAAGTGGATTGTTTTCAATTAAGAGTGGATTCCCCTCGGTTATAAGTTACAATTAGTAAGTTCTTTATCGAACTTGTTGGACTCATTTACTATTTTTCTTTGTATTCTTCAATTAAAAATAATTTTGAAAAATTTATATAAAAATAAATTATTAAAAATTATAGGAGCACAATACAGATGAAATAAAGTTTATATATATATATACATATATAATTGTAAAAAGAATTAACACTGGCTTCCTCACTGGACCGACTTAATTGACATTTGAATATAAATAATATTTCTCCAGTGTCATTTTCTCAAGAAAGTGCACCTATAATATATATATATATATATATATATATATATACACACACACACTTATTTGATAACTTCCCCTAAATTTAGAGGATTGAACTAACATAGTACATTCATTGCTATTGGTTGAAATGTGTGGATGCTATTGTGAGCCAAATCATAGTTGGGTTTATTCATCTAATTGGCTGTCTTAATTTGTGAGTTAAACTTATTTCCTAAAGTTATTAGGTCAATCACAATATAATTCATAAATAAATAATATATCTGAGCATTTATTTATATTAATTTCCTTTTATAGAAATGTTTAAAGTGAAATTATTGGTAAAATAAGAAGTAGCATTTCCTTTTCTGGAACTAATTAACTTAGGGGATGTGAAATGATTCGTTGCCTTATTGTTAATGAACTAATAATTAGGTCGGTATTTCTTTAATTAATTGATTTCGAACCTAAGCTTCATTAATCATTATAATAATACATAATAATTATTTTTATTTTTACTAGTATAAATTTCTTATATGTTTATATTTAATAAAAATATATATATATTTTAAAAAAGTCACGAGCCAAGTCGTAAATCATTTAAACAATTGAAAGTTACTTGATGAAGGGCAAATAATTTCTACTACTAGGACGACGGACTAGAACCGGCACGAAAACTAACTTTAATTATTTCTAACTGTACATCGAGTTTTGGCAATTTGACGTCGTTTAGACCCTCGAAGGTCCATTTTTGCCGTTTCGGTAATTTTTGTTTGTTCTAATATCATTTTGCAGAAAATACGAATTGGGTTGTTTCTAGAATTAATTAGGTATTCTGGTTGTATTAAGACTTAACTCGCTTTTGCCATTTTGGCAAAAGAAAAAAATTGTTTTTTTCCTATTTAAATTAGGTCTTCAATTTTTGTAAATATACATAGTTCCTTTAGGGTTTCGATAAACTCATCATATTCACTTTTAATTTCTTAGTAAAACACTAGAAGTTTTTCTCAAATGATCTGGTGAATTCCAGAGTTATAATGTTCCATAGAATTAATTTGTCGTAATTATTTTTTTCATATATACGTTTCTGTGTTGCGTCAGTTGCGCCATACTTTAAGCTCGACTTGTCAAAAGGTACGATTCCGTAAAATTCAGCTAAATTGATTCGACTCGCAAGACTTGTGAGCTCGTTCGATACATTTACACGTCTTGCTTGAATTATTAATTATATCACAATATTCCTAGAAAAAAATATATAATTAATTGCTCATGAGGAGACAATTGACCTCTATCCCACATTAATTGGCCTCTAATTCAAGTTATAGTGTATGATATTGAAAAGTAGTTTGTTAGGTTTTCTTCACAACCAAAACAATGGATTAACATTAAACTTTACAGATAAATTAATTAATTATTATGAACTAATATGGCAATAAACATCATCAAACCAGCTAGTTAGTGACCTAAAAAAAATTAATTTAAAAAAAAAAATAATAATAATAATAATAATAATAATAATAATTAATTTATTGATGTCTAGTGGTTACCACTTAGTCACAATGTACATGAAATAGTTGATTAAATTGAAAGGCCGTATATACAAAACTGGCTGCTGACAGCTAATTAACCCTATTTAATTTAAAATAGTGTCCAACCTAACTACGCAGAAACCATCAACACTTAATTACACAATTTTTATTATCTTGATAATAATGCCTATACCACCTTCTTAATTAAAGATTATAATTAACCTCCACAATTAATTCTTAATTAATTAAACTCTATGTGAGTGTGTGTAATTATGTGTTTAAGTGATTTTCTTGATCAGAAAGGCAACACTTGCAAACCTCCGCCTATAAATACAATTCATCGGTTTCGTTTCTATACCGTACCACATTGCAATAACAACTTATCGGTCTCGTACTCAGCTTCGTTTTATTACATACATAGATATATTAGTTTTTTTTTCTTGCAAATTAAAAAAGATGTCTTCGATCGGAGCTAGCTACGCGCAAGTTTACGTGCAGCAGAAGAGACAGAAGGAGAGGCTGACGAAGAAAATGGCCGAAGATGAACGAGCTAGGGTTATTAGTGGAAATAATAATAATGTGATTATTAATGATGAGAGTAAGAGTACTAATGGTAGGAACAAGAAAATTCACCCTGATTTAACTGCTAATCCTGGATTTGGAGTGACAGATTAATTAAGGGATAGATAATTATATAACAGCAGTGTTCTGGAACATGCATGCAAGGTTATTGTTGTGTAACCTTAAATAAATAATTGTATGTTGGAAAATAGTTTCTTGAATGTGTTTTTTTTATTCAGTTGTAATATATATAATGGTTTATCTTTTTAATGTTTTGTAATAATGGTAAATTATATATATTATGTATGCAGTTTCTTTTTAATTAAGCTTCTGGGATTTGCTTCTTTTTTCTTCTTTTCTTTTAATATAGTTGACATTTTCGAAGTATATATTCAAAAATTTTAAATAAATTAATTAAAAGCAAGACCACTTATCATCACCTTGGATATAATTATCTATATATAGAAAGTCCTAGTACTTAACTTTCGTTTATTAGGGTTCCATTTGCATGAACACGCATGCAAGTATACAAAGTCACAATTTTAATCTCAATCCTATTATATTATTATATAAGGTAAAGTTTATTTTGCATATCTGAACTATAGTCAACGTATAAAACATTCCCTCAATTTTAAAATGAACCAAAACAATCCTTTTGTTAGAAAAAAGAAAAAAGTTGCGAAGAAGAAGTTTTAAGAAAAAAAAGTGTAAAATTACATTAAAACTAACGATTTTGTTGTAAAAGTAACGGCGTTAAGTTTAATAACGTTGACCACAAAAAATGTGGGCATTGTTTTGTTCATTTTAAAGTTTAGGGGGGTGTACGATGAGCATAGTTCAGATTCGATCAGAGAGTGGTTTCTTGTGTTACTATATCAAGATTCGGATTAATGCGCAAGAGTGGTGTTCTGATTCGATCACCACTCATGGACTTGGTTGTGGCATTTCGGTTTAGAATTTGGAGGATGTTTCCAACGTTGTCAGTTTATATTTAAGTAGATTTTTTTTATGATAAAATGATATTCATTTCTTTTTTGTTCCATCGTTCTAAATTTAAATCCTCAATATTTTTTATTTCATTGATTTTTTAGATTAATGAATTTTGATTTTCGAATTGAACCCGTGCATATACTAAAATGTTGTTATGGTATAAATGGATCGGGTTGTCCATGTGGGCAGGGGCGGCCCATAACATAATAATTGGGGGGCCGAAATTTATTTTGGGCTTCTAACAAAAACAGCACAAACAAGTGAGTAGTCATAATAAATATTAGGGCAAATTAAGACCAAATTACGAAAAAATCCTCTTATTTGGATAATTACAGTTACCCCTCCTTTTAAATATTTTTACTTAAAATTTATGTAATTCGGTTATTTACCGAACCAAATCGTATATTCAGTTCGGTAAACGGTATGAAATTTTGGCGTACCGAAATTTTGATTCGATTTTACTGATGTAACATCCATAAATTTACCTCTTGAGGGATATTTTCGTAAGATAATTAATAGTTGAGGAAGGAGGCTGTTATTACCCAAAAGAGATGGGGTTTTCGTAATTTGATCATAACCAGGTGTGACCGTAATTTGCCTTAAATATTATTTTTCAATCAAGTGTATTTATTATACATAATCTTTTCTATAAGTGATATTTTTAAAACGATATTTTATTTTTTATTGAATTTTAGAAGAAAAAAAAAGTTGTATTATCTCATTTTGCTAATATAACAAGTCATAAAAAATAACATATAACTTAATACAAAATAAATTAAATAAAAATAAAAATAAATTCACTTTGGGCTTCAGTGCGTGTAGTGATGAAGCCATTATCGAGTGTAGTATAGAACAAACCGCGCTGGATCGAATTGTGTCTTGCATTAAACTCCATTTATTATTTAGAGGAATTGGATAAATATTTAGGTGGAAGGCAACCTAACTCCAAGTATTAATGGATTTCTATTTCGTTTCTATATGAAAGTTTTTATTTAAAAAAAATAAAATTAAATAGCAATATAATTTCACATATGACATTGTCTTACCCTTATAAAAACATGTCTGTCACTTGTCTTTTGCACTTATAAAAAC